GCTGCTGCTGGATCTCTTGCTGCTGCTGGTGGTGCTGCTGCAGCTGGTGCTGCTGCAGCTGGTGCTGCTGCTGGATCTCCTGCTGCTGCTGGTGGTGCTGCTGCAGCTGGTTACGATGCTGCTGATTCAGCTGCTGGCTGATGTGCTGATGTTGCTGCAGTTGCTGTTTGGTGGAACTGTCTCTGTTGCTGCTGTTTGGCGTTGCCGCCCTCTGGCGGCCTGCAGGGCACCGGGATGGGCATCTGACCGGGGACCAGCTGGTAGTACGGGGAGGAGGGGGGGGGCAAGGCGCTGAGGCTCTGGGTGGAGGTGCAGAGTTTGCTGTAACCCAAACCTCCGGGTCCTCCGGCAGACGGCACCACGAAGACGTTCTCGTCGCTGCCGGCGTTCCCCGCGAGCGCTTTGAGGGGGACCTGTGGCGTGCAGATGGGGATGGGGACCCCCCCGCTGATGGTGCCGCGGCGGTACGCCGGCTTAGACGAGGGTTTGCGGCGGATGGTCGCGGTGTGCGACGCCGGCTGGTGGGCGGACCTGCCGATAAAGTCGGGCTCGGCCAGCAGGCTGACGGTGGAGGAGGGCCGCTTGGACTGGGCGAACTTCCTGTACTGGAAACTGAGGTCGGAGTTCCTCGGGATGGTGGAGGACCGGTCGAAGTCCGACTGGCTTCCGCCGCCGTGGGAGAGGTGGTGCAGGGAGAAGGAGTCGGCGTCCCCGTGAAGAGAGATGGACTCGTAGTCGACTGGCGAGAGAAGACGGGAAGCATCAGGAAACCAGAACCACATCTGTCGTACATCGTGCGACGCTACTCAGCGACCACGAGGACACACTTCTTAAGTAAAACCTGAGAAACGCTGAAAATCTGATAAACGCTGCACGAGGATGAGACCCTCTCGCTGACACGCAGAGAGACGGGCAGGTAAACAGACAGACAGGCAGGTAAACAGCTGGTCAGAGACCTACCATAGAGGGGAGGCTCTTTCTTTACAGCTGGAAGAGAAGGAGGGAAGTTTAGCCAAGAAAAACACAAACTATAGAGAGAACACAACGGACCAGAGAGGAGAAAGGTCACGGAGAAGCTCGTGTGTGTGTGTGTGTGTGTGTGTGTGGTGGGCTCACTGTGTGTGTGGATGGTGTCCTCAGAGCAGGACGGGGTGGTGGTCTGAGTGCTGTAGCCGCTGGAGCAGTGCAGAGAGTCCCTGCTGCTCCTCGGGGCGTCCGAATTCAACGCACCCAACGTCAACGCCAGCTGATCGCGGGCCGAGCAAGACTGAGAGAGAGAGAGAGAGAGAGAGAATTAAGTCTTTTAAAGTGTACAATTGGTATAATTCATAATCTTCGGAATAAAATGACATTATAACAGAGGAAAGACGTTTTAAGGAGAGATCCAAGGAAACAAAAACAGAAAAGCAGAATGAGAAAGACGGAGACCAATGAGGATAGGCGACAAGGAAAGAAGGAGATGAGACGAGGAGAGAAAACAAGGAGAGAGGAGGCATCCGGTGACGCTCTGCAGTGGCGCTGGTTACCTTGCCAGACGCAGACATGGCTCGGGCTCGCTCTCCGCGGTGCGAGTAGGCGCTTTGGGGCGGAGCCAACAGGCCGTTCTCCGCTCCGCCGCTGGCGAGCTGAGCGCCGGCTTCCTGTTCAAAACGAACCAATCGGAGTTGATCTAACGGACGCGAGACTCATCTTCCTAATTACACATTATTATTACTATTTGCATTTCATTAAAAGCCCTTATTGTAATACGAATTTAATAACAATGACTGATTGTGTACTTTTTGTACCTTTTACTGTTAATAAAGTCTCACACTTTATTTGGATTTTCTCCATCGACACTTAACAGGCAAATAAAACATTGATCACAAGACGGAGACGAACGCTTTGATGCGTGAGGGAATAAACATTTTAGGAATGGTGATCTGGGTGGAGCTAATGGTGAGAGTCGGGTGGAGCTGATGGAGTAAGCGGTGACACGGTGAAGGGTGGGATTGGGCGTTTAAACGGTAAGCACGCAGGACGCCGCTCGCTCCGGGAGTGATGTCATAGTTGGGGTTTTGGTTTTGGGTTTTTTCCTCACGGTGGTCTTATCCCTGCGGCTAACGCGGCGGCTCAGCGCGGCGTGATGGCCGGTGGCGTAACCGCGGCTGCCCCGGCGACCGAGGCGAGAGGGGGAGTTGCCCTCGCTGAGGGAGCGCCCGGTTTCATCGCAGCCAATCAGCAGATAGGGGGAGGAGCAGCGCTACACACAGGAGAGGGTGAGAGCGGTTGGTGGTCGTCGTCCTTTTGTTTCGTAGGTCCTCACACAGGGGGGGGGGGTCAGTGTGTGTGTGTGTGTGTGTGTGTGTGTGGTTGAGGTTAAAATACAGGTGAAATGCACCTTTAAGACACCAAACATGTCAACATGAATTAGCACTAGAACTGAAATGATAAAATCACCCTGAGTGTCACAATAAAGTAACAGCTGAAAAGGATGAGGACACACGTTAAGTATCCGGGGTCCATCATCTTTTGGCAATACACTTATAAGTATTATTAGAAAGGTCAAAGGTCATCCAAGGACTTCTGACGGTATTGAAACTATAATCTTTTAACCCACATAAATGGAAACGTTGTGTGTGTGTCTGTGTGTGTGTGTGTTACCTGGATGTGCTCTCCATCCACAGCACTGATGGAGTCCAAGGAGGGGACGTGTCTCACCGATCCAGACTGGTAGTTACTGTAAAAAGACACATTCCAGGATAAACGGCACAAGCAGACTTTGACCTAATGAACACTTCAAAGTTTAATGGGATTTCAAAAATAACAAAAGAAGGAATTGAAACTCAATAAGAAGAAGAAGAAGAATATACCGTGGGTTGAAGGTTACCAGGCATGTAATGAGTGTCTGTGTGTTACCTGCTGATGCTGCTCTTCCTCGACAGAGTGTTACTGGGAGAAGCTGGAGGAGTCTGGTAGCTGTAGTTAAAATCAGAACCTTTCAGGTCCAAAATCACCTGGAACAAAACACAAGGAAGAGCCAGAGGAAGAGTCAGAGGAAGTGTCAGGAAGAGTGAGGAAGTGTCAGAGGAAGAGTCAGAGGAAGTGTCAGGAAGAGTGAGGAAGTGTCAGAGGAAGTGTCAGGAAGAGTGAGAGGAAAAGTGAGAGGAAGTGTCAGGAAGAGTGAGAGAAAGAGTCAGGAAGAGTCAGAGGAAGAGCGAGAGGAAGAGTCAGAGGAAGGTACCTGCTCGCTGGACGGGGGGAGTTTATTTGGCTCGGCCGTCAGGTTGGTGAGATCTTCCAGAATAGTCTGCAGGTGGGTCACCTCACCCAGCATGTTGATCTCATGGTCCTACACACACACACACAAGTGTGATTATTGTGGTTTAATATGGTTTAAAGGCTACTAATCGCACACGCACACACACACACGTGCACTGACCAGTACGGGCTTCAGCATGCTGACGAAGCTGCAGTAACGAGCTCTTTCCTCTATCAGCGCTCTGCACACGGCTCGCTTCTCCGTGTCCTCCAGGACGGCGTAACGCACGTTGACGTCCTGCAGCGCGCTGTCCAGCTGGCCACGCACCTCGTCCTTCCCTACACACACACACACACACACACACACACGTATAAAGATCCATAATGTCCATCACGTGTCCTGTGTCAAAGATCCCAAACTGCATCTCACTGGAGATAAAATAATGTCACCTAAACAGACGTTGTTTGTTAGGAGGACCTGAAACATACGACCATCCACACCAAAGACTCACAACAACAGACAACACGACCCGAGTCACAAGACTCACACTTGTGATACTTCCTCCTACCAGCAGGGGTCAGCACAGCAACACACACACACACACACACACACACACACACACACACACACACAGTTTGTGACTAAACTTTGTATTAATGTATTCCAAGAAGTCCATAAACCTCTCTGGTTTACGTTAGAGGGAAAATACACCCACGCAATACTTTAAGCAGGTACTTGTACTTTATACTTTAAAGGAAATATTCATTTAGCCACATTGAATGTTAAAAGAACATCGCATTTTATAAACTTAGGGAGTTAAGGACCAAATGAAAAAAGAATATGCTGCTTAACGCATCAGTACTTGAGATTATGTACTTTTAAGTTGTACTTATTTTCTCACTTTTGAGAAAACTTTAGAAGACTTTTACTCCTGGGGGAGTATTTGTTTTACTGCAGTACTTTTACTGCAGCCCGTTGTCTCCCGCAGACACATGAAAGCCCCGTGATTGTTTAATAGAAATTTAAAAAGTGATGACCAACTTATTCCCTGAAACCTTCCCAGACTCTTATGTCAATGTTTTTTCCTTTTTCCAAACGCGGAGGAACAAAAAAACTCTTTCTACCTTCAAGAGGCCGAAAAAACAGACAGTAAATCCTGTGAAACACGCACGAGATGGTTGCCGATATTTATGTGGGACTAAAACGCTAAAATAAGAAGCAGGATGTCAGAAACGTTGTGATTTAGTTTGTTAGAAGCGGGAGAGAGCGAAAGCAGACAGAAAACACGGAGATGTAAAACCCACTTCAGACGACGCTCTGCTAAGCGTGGGCGGGTCCACACGGAGGCTGTGCGTGTGCGTGTGCGTGTGCGCGGGCATTTGCATACTGAATTCGTTAAGAGGGACGACACGGGAGATTTATGTGAAAGGCCCAGAGGTTTCATTTTGATTGTGTGTCTCCGTGTTTGTGTGTGCGTTTTGGCGTCTTTCCTTCGTCCGTCCCGAGTCTTTTCCCGGCGAGCTGCTGGTCTCTTTGATTATGGGATGGCGGCTAGGCCAGGTGCAGCTATAGCGAGCGCTGGGTGTGCGCTGCTTTAAACAGCGTTTGGCGATCAAAGGTCGGGTTTTCTGTAATAAAATACACGCCGCCAAACTGCTTCTCTTCATTCATTATCTGCCACAACAAAAGGGAAGGCCTCAGGGCGGGGCCACTGTGATTGACAGGTCTCTCCTGCTCATGTGTTCAGTCTATGACAACAAGCAGGCGGCGTGGGCCAAACCGAGACTTCATCCCTACTTCGACACCCACTCCGGTTCTCCCTTCACACTGGACGCATGGGATTCGAACTTTTAGGTCCCGAGTAACTTGTTATTGGTGTTAAAATGTGCTGAAAGTTAAAAAAAAAAATTCACAACCAGCAGAACGAAATCCGCTTCTCTGCGCGGCTTTCAAACCAGACTAAATAAAACACGAAAGGGGGCCTTTATTCTGGCGGGAACGTGTTTTTGGAGGGATTATTCCTCCCTCGTGGTTGACTGACAGGAGGCGGAGCAGAACGCAGCGGCCTGAAAACGCTGATCTCAGCACGCCGGGGATCAAAGGACTCCTGGCGTTAACCCGGGAGGATTATCGCATTCAGCGGGTCACTTCCTCCTCTAAAGTAAACGGGAAAGAAAAAACCTCATCTGCTTTTTTGAGTTTGATCTTCTCACCTTTCTTCATCTTCTTCTGCAGTTTGATGGTGTCCGACGATTTCTTCTTGATGTCCGCTCGGGCCTTCTTGTACTCTAAACCCCGAAGAACAAGTCAGAAGTGAGACGGCCGTGTGTGTGTGTGTGTGTGTGTGTGTGTGTGTGTACCTTTGGCGTGGTCCTTGTCCAGCTGACTGGCCACTTTCTTCCACTCCTCCATCTTCAGCTCCAGCGGAGTGACGAGGCCTTCTGAAAGAGCTCTGACACATAAAAGAGGTCGAAGGTCTCAATTAATCGTTTTCTTTTACTTTATTGTCAATTCATGCAGAACAATCTACATTATTGATCTATCAATTCCATTTTTATAAATCTTTCTTTGTTTTGTCTGAATAAACACACCCACAAGTGTTGAAGTTAGTAGGAGAAACACACAGACAGCATTATTTGAGAAGACAAGGTCACAGAAGATGAGATTTGAGGAGCTTTCTGCTTCATGTAAAACCTAAAAACTCAAAGACTCAATGCGTAAGCAGCTTTTACGTGAAGCGTTCGTGCGTTCCTCCTGTGTGTCTTACGTGGTGAACAGTTTGAGTTTGGACTCGATGCTGCGGTGTCTCATGCACATCCTGGTCAGCGCTGAGCCGATCTCTTTGGTGGCCCCTGGAGACAGAACAACAACAACTGTCCCATCACTTCCATTTTCAAAACAACAACATTTGGACAACTGAGCTGAACAAAGTTGCCGCTTTGGTTTTGGGTCTTTTGTAACGAGAAATTCAGGAGAATCAATGGGATTAAAATCTTATGACCGCTGTGGAAATGTAGTGTATTGCGTAACATCATCACAAATCATTTCACAAAACACAAAATTACAACAGTTTTCATGATAACGTTTAAAGCCAATTAAACACACACACACACACACACACGTTCTGTTTTTACATCTGATGCCAGCTGAGCTGCACATGCAGTCAGAATTATCATTTGAATTGCGTGTTAGGATGCAGGTTCAAGTTCGGCTTCGCTCTCCACGCCGCAGGCCGGCGATGAGTGATGCTGTGATTTGTCCCAATAAGCTGCTGATGCAGCGCATTGGATGTGACACCTTTAAGCATTCTGTGGTTTCAGCTGCTCACGTGACTTCATGTGAACGTCAGTGTTTCTGACGAGAAGGAACCGATCGGACGACGTCATCGTCAAGCGTTTGATGGAACGTTCCATAAACCCACCTGTCACACACGCAGCGACGTAACAAAGTGATAAACCGGCTCACTTCACGTCGCTTGAATATCAAAATCTGAGATTTGCCTTTCCCTCCCTGTTGCAGCTGTGAGCTCAGAGGAAAACCATTAAAAGTAGAACCAACATCAACTTGTAGATGGTGTCATGCAATGTTTAGGGGCGGGTGAGGGGGGGGGGCGGGTGAGGGGGTGGGGGAGGCAGAAGCTCAGCACAGCATTAACAGAGGCCAACTGTGACAATACAATAAGACGTGTGATGAACAGAAGGATCCTTTAATGGACGGTGTTGCGTATCCTGCATTTAAATGTCATTTTAAAAATCCCCATGACAGCACACTGCCCAGCCATGTTTGATGCCGTAAGCATGCCGCGTGTGTGTGTGTGTGTGTGTGTGTGTGCCAGGTGTCTTCACAGTACACCCCTGCGTTTGTGTTCAGACATGTTTAATGGAGCACCGAGTCGACTTCGGAGAAAATGCAACCCGACAAGATCAGACAGACTCGCTGAGGGGCGAGTTTTTTTTTTTTTAGACTTGCACACGGTGCTGCGGCGGTCACGTGTTTTCAGTTCTTTTGCACGGGATCGAAGAGACGCCGGCCGCCTAAAACCAGAAAGCAGCCGGTGGTCTGAAGATCAGCGGCAGCAGAAGGTCCCGTCACTGGGTTCACTGGGTGTCCATATACTCTGGGCCACGCGGCTCAGCAAACCACATTCTGTCCATTAAAAGTATATATGTACGGTTGACACTGGCTGGATTCAGATCAGTGCAAATAGAAATGTGGATAAGCTCCTTCACAGCGCGACTGAGCGCTGCCTGATTGGTCGGTCTGTCCACGTTCGAACAGTCTCAGAGATCAACATGGAGGGAAGAAAATCAATCGATATCGACATGGTTACGGTCAGAAAGTGATTGATTTGGGACCAGAACCCCCCTCCGCCACAGAAAAGGATTGGCATGCAGACACTACACTTAAATGTATTGCGCTGGTCCCGGTCGCCATGACAACAACCTCCAGTTTATAACAGTAGCAGCCGCCCCCCCTCCAACTCATTCACTCACTGCCTGTCTGTCTCTTTGCATTGATCCGGTTATTGATTAACTGACCCGATCATCTGAAAGACGTGCACAGTCGACCCGAAGGAGATCTGTGCGATGGCGAGTCAGCACTCAGCGGGTCGTCTTGTGATCCGCGCGCTTAAAGAACCCGTGACGCCACAGACGTCAACTGTTCCCTCGGTTGCCAGCGGAGACGAGTCATGTGGCACCGCCGGAGAAACGAGACGAGGGGAAGAAACTTTTCAGACGACTGTGAGGGGATTCACGACAAGCCGGATCCGGTGATCCGGTGATTCAAATTCACCGCACGGAAAGCTTCATAACAATCAGGGAACGTGATGTGACGATGACCACGGCCACTTCTCATATACGACCTAATTATGAAGTGAATGTTTTCACTTCCCCCTTGGAGGTTTGTGCCAGTCGGGGAGGACGTCCCTGGGACACGGCGTGCGAGTCGTCTTCAGCAGCTCACAGGAAGCAGCATTAAGAGACGCAGACCAAGTTCAAGTGGCACCACGAGAAATCTGTCTGTTACATGTCATTTTTTGTTATCAACAGGCCCGGTGAACAAAGCTCCCAACACACGCCGCTTTGAACCGACCACAGGATCCACGCACAGACCCACCAGACCGGTTCTGAGAGAGAACCCCACACACCCCCACCCACACACACCCCCATCCACCCCCCTCCGCCTGTGGCTGTTACGTGTGTGTGTGTGTGCGTGAGCCCAGGAGGCGTGTTAACGTGTGAACTTTCCATTAAAACCACATTCAATTTGTCGGCTAATGGTCATTTTTAATGATCACAAAAGAGCTTTAGTTGATTAAAGGTCAGCAGCTGTAGATGATGGCGGATGCATCAACTTTGTGTCGTCGTTGATTTCTAGTTGGATTTAGCGCACGTGACCACGCACACACACACACACACCTTACATGGCGGTGCAGGTGTAACGGAGATAAACACATGCTGGGCATCTAAGCGTGATCCACACTGCGTGTCCTGTGACGTGAAGCTGCAGTTATTAATTTGCATTCTGCTTGAATGCGGTTGTGCAGCACATGAAAGCTGCGACGTGACGGAGCAGGTCCACAGGAGGCTTCTGAGGAGGGAAGCGGCCGCAATCCGCCTCACACACGCACACAGACACACAGACGCGGCTGGATTTTCCTTGTAATACCAAGCGACTGCGTACTTTACTACGTAAAGACGTACGAAACTACGTACGAAAGTAGTAAAATTAGAAATGCGTTTTGTTGATGAACAAAACACATTTCTTTTCTTCCCAGTTCAGTGTGGAGGAACTTTACTCGGCCTCGACCCCCCTGTCGTGGAAAAAATAAAGCATTTTACACAATGTGTGTGTGAGTAACTTAACACGGGTCGAAACCAGGCAGCTGCACATGAGGTCTCACTGTGTCACTTCACAGGGACAATGGCAGAGAGACACTAGAGAGAGAGAGAGAGACACACACACACAGACAGACAGACAGACAGACAGACAGACAGACAGACAGACAGACAGACAGACAGACAGAGAGAGAGAGACACACACACACACACACACACACACACACACACACACACACACACACACACACACAGAGAGAGAGAGAGACGGGAACAAAACAAAAGAAACAGACAACAGGAACAGAAAAGAAAACAGATGGAACCATTTCATCCTCCAGCAGTTTCTTAATGGTTTCTACATTATAACACACACACACACACACACACACACACACACACACACACACACACACACACACACACACACACCTACTGCTGCCAAACCCACCAATGTGATGACGAGGTTTAGGATACAAAAAAACAAATTTAAAACAAAAACACTTTTATTATGAAGTCCTGGGGGCAGAAGATTAAAACACACCATTGTAGCTTTGAGAATGCACACACACACACACACACACGTTCCCCAGCTGCCTGAGTGGTCTGGTGGCGTCCCACATTCCTCACGGAGACACCAGGAGGCCCCGAGGAGTCGGACA